GTTATTAAAAACTAAGTATAAAGTTATAGTCTATATGGACTATAAGAACCTTATTAACTTTATAATAAATAGAAATCTAAATAAATAGTAGATTAGATAGACTAAATTCCTTTTAGAGTTTAATTTCCGGATTATTTATTAAAAAAGATTAAAAAATAATAGAATAGACGCTCTTAATAAAAGATCGGACTATAAAGTTACGGTCCTTAAAGAAATATAGGTTATCCTTAAATTTAATAATAAAGGCGACCTTATACCTACTACTAAACTCCTTATGATAGCTAGGAAGGTCAATACTAGCACGACTAGAAAAATAACCCCTAAGCTTATTATAGAAATCTATAGTACTAGGGCATACGGCCACTAAGGTATTATAAAGATATAGAAACGTATTAGATAATATTACGACAAATCTACAATATAAGTAGAAGTTATTAACGTAATTAAGGACTATAAAACCTATAGAAAAAGTAAAAATAGCCCTTATAAGCTATATAGAGAGCTATAACTATTACTAATACTAATAGAACTATAGTAATTAATCTCCTAGGACTTTATTATTAAACTCCCTAAATCTAAAGAACTATTTACAAATATATACTACGATAATATCTTAATTATCATTGACTAATTTACTAAATATACCTATTTTATACCCTATAAAAAAGTAAATAATACCGAGGAACTAGTATATACGTTCTTTGAAATAATAATTATAAACCACGGATTACTAAATAAAATCGTTTTTAATAAAAATAAGCTATTTATTACTAAATTCTAGAGATCTTTAATCTCGTAACTCGGTATAGATTATAAATTATTAACGTTATTCTATTTATAAACTGATAGATAAACAGAAAATATTAATTAGATTTTCGAAATATACCTCTACTATTATATAAACTACTAATAAAATAATTAGGTAGAACTTCTATCAATAGCCTAGTTTATATATAATATAGCAATAAGCGAAAGTATAAAGGAATCCTTATTCTAGCTTAATATTAATTACTAACCAACCGCCTATAGAGAACTATATAAAGGACTATTTACTATAAAAATAGTAATAAACGTAAAGAAACTTAACGAGATCTAGGCTAGGGCTATAAAGGACCTCGAGTTTATATAAGAATATATAAAGAAATACGCTAATAAATTAAGGATTAAAAAACTAACCTTTAAAAAAGGAAATAATACCTATTTCCTCTATTAAAATATCAAAATAAAGTAACTAAATAATAAATTAAACTATAAAAAACTGAAACCTTTCGAAATTATCTAGAAAATCTTAAACGTTAATTATAAACTAAGACTCCCCAATACTATAAAATGTTACCCAGTATTCTATATCTTATTTTTAGAACTAGTACCCTAAGGTTTATATATAAATGACCGTATTATTATAAAACTAAACTAACTAAAATACAAAGTCGAACGGATTATTAATTATAAAGTTAGGAACGAAATACGAAAATTCCTAATTAAATAGAAAAACTATAAATATAAAAAAATATATATAAAAACCTATTACGAACCTTTAAAATTCCCGATAATTTTTTAAGGAATACCGAAATTAAAATCGAACCTAGAACTCCCGGCTATTATAGCATCCTAATTAATAACTCTAAAAATACTATTAACCTATACCTCCCATATTACCGAGGAAGTATCTTTAATATCCTTAAGGACCTCTTTAAATACAATATAACTCTTTACGAATACTATCTACTTTTAAAAACGAAGGCGTTCTAATTTAAATAAAGACTTATTTAATTTAATTTAAGCCTTTTAATAAACCTTAGTTTTCTTTTATAATTCCGTAGCCCTCTCCTAAAAACGTAACTCCTCTACTTATTCCTTACGATTAAGGCGATTAGACTCTACTACTAAGTAATTTACTATACCGTTAGCTATAATTAACTAAAACTAAATACAAATACTTACAAATATAAATAGTATCAGTAAAAATATCGTAAGAAATACCTAAATAATAATATATTCCATAGGTCTCGGAATTAAAAAAGACTAGATATTAAATACCTTACGAACGATAATTTAAATAAAGTATTATTTTTATACCTTCGTTAGAAAAACGAATAATATACAATAATTTATAACGAGATATAGCTATCTAAGATTTTGGTTTTTTAATTCGACCTAATATTATATTAGTATATTTTAATAAATATATTTAACGACTCCTTAACTTAAGAATAAACGACCTACTTATAGGCCTAAAGACTAGACTTTTAAAAAGAGGAGCTAATATTACGACCTAATATATATAATAAAACTAAGGTCCTACCTTATAGGACCGTAGCGGCTATTATACTATATATATATAAATACGGACTTAAGAGGACCCCCTTTAAAATAAAAAAATTATAAATAAATTACATAACCACGATTATACAATAAAATAAAGAACGGACACTTATAAATAAATAGGACGGACGTTTATAAATAAATAGGACGGACGTTTATAAATAAATAGGACGGACGACCGTTTAGTAAACGATCAAATAATTATAAATAGCATAAAATAAAGGATATATTTAAAATTAAGACTTATATATAATATAGACTTAAATCGGGCTTAAAAATAGACTTTCTATAACTTCTTTAGCTATTAACTTCGTATTAGATTTTACGATCACTTTTAACTATCTTTACTAAGAACCTTTTAATAAGATTACTATTAATTACTAAAGTTTTACCTTATAGCTTATAAGATATAACTTCCCTTAAAGTTATTTAATAACCTTATTTACTATTATTTAGTCCTTACGGCCTGAACTTCTACGAACTTACCTCACTACGACTAGCTAGCCATAATAAGGGAATACCGTTATAACGTAATATTATACCGAACTCGCATAATTTAATAGTTTTTTAAAAAAAAAACTATTTAAATATATCCTCGATTTAGATTCCCGATTATTTCCTCCCCGGCTTTATAATATTAAGAAAATAATAAATTAATTATTTATTAACTATAATATACTCTCTATTAAGAAGTAATAGGTTTTAAATTTTATTAAATGATAATTATAGTTATAAATATATCGTTTTTATAAATATAATTATAAAAGGGCTTAATATAAAGATCTAATTATAATAAATATATAGTTCTTATTTATAACGAATATAATTATGAAATATAGTATTATAGATTTAGATATTTATAATTTTAATAAAACTAGCTTTATAATAAACTAGATCTTAACCAATATAATCGTAATTAATACCGAAAGGTATTTAAATATAAAATTAATATAACTTAATAATCGTAAATAGGTTATAGTTATTTAGGCTATTAATTTATTAGGTTATAACGTCTTATTATATATTATCGTTACGGGCTAGTATTATTTCTTTACTTAATATATAGAATCTAGTCTCTTATATAATTAGGTTATTATAATATTGAAAAATAGATAAATAATAAATAAAAGAGGTTTAGATTAGGCTTAGTACTTTAAACGGTATATAAAATTATATAAAAAAGGTTAACGTATATGATAAGTAAGTAGGCTAGATAAGCGAGTGGGCCACCCAACTACGACTACATAATATAAAGGTATAAATATCAATAACCGCCTTATTTATTCAATCTAAACTATTCAGAGTCCTCTTCCTTAAACATTTCCTTATTAAATTAACATATTCGCATATTATAACTAGTATTCCCGTAGACGCTATATTATCGTTAACCCGTCTTAGTCCTTAATTGGTAACTATTATTCCGGCATATTTCCTCCTTTATCTAGGCTATAACCTTTCTCTATAATTAAAGGTCCTCTCCCTTAGCTATAATAAGACTTCCTCCTTATTAAAGACGGTTTTTTTTTAGCTCTTTAGTATTAATTAAATAGGTTATTCTCCTCTTAAAAAATCTAGTTCTCGGATCTTAATAAGGCAATCTAGTATATAAACCTATAAGCCCTCTTAAATAGATACTCTATAGCTTCGATAATTAAAGTTAGAGAGCTATTTTAATAACGGGTAATTCTATTTTTAATAAATTATAACTATAAAGACGCCTCGGTTAGGTTATTTAGTATTTAAAAAGTCTATACTAGGGGTATTATCGGGAGGGATCGTAGAGGTATTAGAGTATATAACTTTACATTAAGCTTTAAAAGCATACTCTCTATATTTAAAAATATAAACTTTACCTCTTTAAATCCTCCCTAGATATTTTTTTTTATAATCGTTTACGTAAAAGCCCTATAAAACGTTAGGAAAAAATCCTTTTTAGTAATATACGTATTACCCCGACGTATTTTATCTTTAATTTCTCGACCGTATACCGTTTTAAAAGGCCTAAAATATCTAATATTTAAGGGCTAAAGTAGATAAAACGAATAAGCCGGTATATATAGGGTAATAATATTATTCTCTTTATAAAAAAGCTTAAAATCCATAAAGTAATAATTTTTATATCCGTCGACGATAAGGAGGTAATATTAACTCTTTCTATACGGTTTTATATACCGTTTAAAATACCGAGCCTAATCTAGGCCTCTTTTATTTATTATCTATCTATTTTTAAACGTTATAATAACCTAATTATATAAGAGACTAGATTTAGTATATTAGGTAAAGAGGTAATATTAGCCTATAACGATAATATACGGCGGAATATTATAACCCGACGAGCTAAGAGCCTGAATAACTATAACCTATTTACGATTACTAAGCTATATTATTTTTATATTTAAATGCCTTTCGGTATTAGTCACGATTATACCGGTTAAGATCTGGCTTATTATAAAGCTAATCTTGTTAAAGTTATAGATATCTAAGTTTATAATACTATACTTTACGATTATGTTCGTTATAAGTAAAAACTATGCGTTTATCATATCTAGATCTTCGTATTAGGCCCTTTTATAATTATACTTATAAAAACAACGTATTTATAATTATAATTATCGCTTTATAAAGTTAAAAGCCTATCGCTTCCTAATATAAGGCGCATTACGATTAGTAAGTAATTAATTTGCTATTTCTTTAATACTATAAAGATGGGGAAAAAAAGATCTAGCATTTAGGTCGAGAATATATTTAATTAGCTTCTTTTTTTTTAGCAGCATCAAATTCCGTAAATTAAATATACTATTATATTATAATAACGTTCCCTCTAATCTACGGCTTAAAGTAACGTAACTAATATTATAAATCTTTACTGCGGCCCGAATATTAAGGTTTCGGTCTTTTTAAATAGCCTAAACCGCTAAGTTTAATTAAGTATCTTTAATATATACTGTTATCGTTTTTGATAGAGAAATGCGTATTATAATAATATAGGTGGCACTATAGCGGTTAGGTAGCCTACTCGCTTGTCTAGCCCACTCGCTTATTATGTACGTTAATATTATTTCTTTATTATTGACGGATATAAAAGTTATTATTTTATAAATTTTAAGCTTTTTTATAAGGAGAATAATATTATTACCTTATATATACCGGCTTATTCGTTTTATTTATTCTAGCTTTTAAATATTAGATATTTTAGGCCTTTAAAACGGTATATAGTTAAGAAATTAAGGATAAGATATGTTAGGATAATATATATATTATTAAAGAGGACTTTTGTTTGGTATTTTATAAGGCTTTTATATAAATAATTATAAAGAAAAATATTTAAGGAGGATTTAAAAGGATGAAGCTTATACTTTTAAATATAAAAAGTATACTTTTAAAGCTTAATATAAAGTTATATATTCCGACGCTTTTAAAAGAAATTTTAATAATACCCCCGGTATAGACTTTTTAAATACTAAATAACCTAACCGAAGTATCTTTATAATTATAATTTATTAAAAATAAAATTGCCTATTATTAAAATAGTTCTTTAATTTTAATTATCGAAATTATAGAGTATTTATTTAAAGGGGTTTATAGGTTTATATATTAGATCGTTTTATTAAGATCCGAAAACTAGATCCTTTAAAAGGAAAATAATCTATTTAGTCGATATTAAAAGGCTAAAAAAATATGTTTTAAATAAAGAAAAAGCTTAATTATAGTTAAGGGAGAGGACCTTTAAATATAGAGAAAGGTTATAGTCTAGATTAAAGAGGAAATATACTAAAATAATAGTTATTAACTAAAGACTAAAATAAATTAATAGCGCTATAATATTTATAGGAATATTAAATATAATATGTAAACGTATTAATTTAATAAAAAAATATCTAAAGATAAGGATCCTAAATAGTTTTATTAAATTAATAAGGTAGGTGTTAAGATTTATTGCTTTATATAATATGGTTGCGGTTCTATATTTCACTTGCTTATCTATTTCACTTGCTTATTATATACGTTATATTAAATTAAAATAATCTAATATGATTTAAGGTCTAAACGAATATTTTAGATTAAAATAGTCTAGAACGACTTAAAGAATAAAAGATATATTTAAGGATAAGATTTATATATAAGATAGACTTAAGCTAGACTTAAAGATAGATTTTCTATAATTTCTTTAATAATTAATTTAATATTAGATCTTATAATCGCTTTTAACTTTTTTTATTAAGAACCTTTTTAATAAGATTATAATTAATTACCGAAGCCTTAACGTACATGATAAGCGAGTGGGCCAGATAAGCGAGTGGGCTACCTAACCGCTATAGTGCTACCTACATCATTATAACACGCATTTCTCTATCAAAAACGATGATAGTACATATCAAAGATATTCAATTAAACTTAGCGGTTCAGGCTATCCAAAAAGACCGAAACCTTAGTATTCGGGCCGCAGCAAAGATCTATAATATCAGTCGCGTTACCTTAGGCCGTAGATTAGAGGGAACGTTGTTACGACGTAATAATATACCTAACTCACGGAATTTAACGCTACTAGAAGAGAAGAAGCTAATTAAGTATATTCTCGACCTAGATGCCAGATCTTTTCCTCCCCGTCTTCGTGGTATTAAAGAAATAGCGAATCGATTACTTACAGATCATAACGCGCCCTATATTAGGAAGCGATGGGCTTCGAACTTCGTAAAACGACAACCATAGTTATAAACGCATCGTTTTTACAAATACGACTATAAGAGGGCCTAATACGAAGATCTAGTCGCGATAAACGTATAGTTCTCGCTTATAGCGAACACAATCGTAAAATACAATATCGTAGACTTAGATATCTACAACTTTAACAAGACTAGCTTTATAATAGGCCAGATCTCAACCGGCATAGTCGTAACTAGTACCAAAAGGCGTTCAAACACAAAAATAATACAGCCTAGCAATCGTAAATAGGTTATAGTTATTTAGGCCATTAGCTCGTCGGGTTACAGCGTTCCGCCGTATATTATTATTACGGGCCAGTATCACCTCTCTACCTAATATACGGAATCTAGTCTCCTATACGATTAGGTTATTACAACGTCTAAAAATAGATAAATAATAAATAAAAGAGGCCTAGATTAAGCTCGGCACTTTAAACGGCATATAAGACCGCGTAAAAAGGGTCAATATCGCCTCCTTATCGTCGACGGACATAAAAGTCATTACTTTACGGATTTTAAGCTTTTTTATAAGGAGAACAATATTATTACCCTATATATACCGGCTTATTCGTCTCATCTACTCCAGCCCTTAGATGTTAGATATTTTAGGCCTCTTAAAACGGCATATAGTTAAGAAATTAAGGATAAGATATATCGGGGTAATACATATATTATTAAGGAGGACTTCTTCCCGGTATTTTATAAGGCTTTTACGTAAGCGATAATTAAAAAAAACATCTAGGGAGGATTTAGAGGGGCAGGGCTTATACCTTTGAGTGCAGAGAGTATACTCTTAAAGCTTGACGTGAAGTTATATACTCCGATGCCTCTAGGATCCCTCCCGATAACACCCCCGGTATAGACTTCTCAAATACTAAATAACCTAACTAAGGCGTCTTTGTAGTTACAACTTATTAAAAATAAAATCGCCCGTTATTAAAATAGCTCCCTAACTTCAATTATTAAAGCTATAGAGCATCTATTTAAAGGGGCTCGTAGGTTTATATACTAGATCGCCTTATTAAGATCCGAGAACCAGATCCTTTAAGAGGAAAATAACCTACTTAATCGACGCTAGAGAGCTAAAAAAAACCGTCTCTAATAAGGAGGAAGTCTCACTATAGCTAAGGGAGAGGACCTTTAGTCGTAGAGAGAGGCTATAGCCTAGGTAGAGGAGGAAACGCGCCGGAGTAATGGTCACTGACCGAGGACTAAGACGGGCCAATAACGATATAGCGTCTACGGGAATACTAATCATAATATACGAACATATCAATTTAATAAGGAAATGTCTAAAGAAGAGGACTTTGAATATTTTGGATTGAATAAATAAGGCGGTTGTTAATATTTACACCTTTATGTCATGTGGTCGTAGTTGGGTGGCCCACTCGCTTGTCTAGCCCACTCATTTATCATGTACGTTATTTATTTTATGATTTATAAATATAGCTTTAGCGAAGCTATCTATAATTATAATACGTTATTCTTTAATATTATAGCCTTAACTTCTATAAACATACTCACTATGACTGGCTGGCCGTAATACAGACCTAGCCTAATATATAGATAAACGCTTATATATTAAATAATAAAAAGCGATATACCGATATAAAGCGAAGTAGCTATAATTAGGGTCGGTGAGATGCCTAGGACTATTGCGCTTTTATTGGTGCGCCATCTTTATGGATATATATTTGTTTATATACCGTGCCGCGCTGGTATTTTAGTAAATAATATATCGGACTTTGTATACGGACTACCACTATGCCGCTTTTTTTTTATAGATAAACGCACTAAGAACGGAAGCACTAATGCTAGATCCACTCAATGATGTCACGATTTATGGCACACAGCAATGGGCATACGGAGTGTGGTAAAGTGGCTTAACATATTAAAGTAGAAATAGACAACTGAAAAAGGTCTACATATAGGATGTATGTGATATACACGTGATACAGCACGTGACAGGCGCTTTATGGATTGCGGTTCTATCCCTATTGCGTGACAACAAGCGAGCCTCACTTCTTTCCCGTCCAGCAGGACATCCGCCTCAACCAGGCATGCCAGCATACTCTACCGTTGCCACTGGAAGGACTGTTCATTGAGTACCAGCGACACGGGCCTCGCTGAGTAAGTGCAGATGACGTTCGGGCCTTTTCATCGCGCTAGCAAACTCCGTGCTCACACTTCTCTACCGAGCACGCCCGGCGGCACAGAAAGTGTCCGAAAGTTGAATGCATATAAAACTTCACGGAGAGAAAGAGAAACGAAGACATGTCTGGAAGATGCATAGAAAGTGGGCGCAGTTGGTGGGATATCCTACGATTAGTGGGATTTGCGACCAGTGTCGCGAGACATTCCGTTGGGATAACCACGTGATTCGCCATAAGAGAAGAAGACACTAATACGGGACGGGGCACCAGTCAAACATCGATGCTGCTGCCCATGTCTATTTGCTGAGCCCGTCCAAAGCATACATGGTGATTCAACATTTTTAGCTACTTTGGCAGAAAAATCTGAACGTATGCAATATGCTCTCAGCACAACAAAGGGTCTTGCCCAGCCCTATCCAAAACGAGCGATACAGTATCGCTATCCATCCTAAAGTTTCGCACCGAGATTGCAGTCCATCGCTCAGCTACATATTCCAAGTGTTGCCTATCGAGTGAGAAAGAATAGCTGAAGGGATCTATCAACGGCTTAGTTCTGCCCAGATCATCCGATTACATGATTCAACTTCCCGAGGGGCTCGTTGTGTGGAATAACGATTGCCTATGTCTCAAGCTACCGAACGTCGCCTGTCATCCATGTCTGCTGGTTGTACAGACTGACCACCGGATCGTCCATCGCCCAGAGCCGATCGTGTCAGGCTACAAAGGGGCGAGCAACGTTGACGTGAAGCACCAAGCTCGTGGGGTCAATGATGATGCTCAATGGCAAGAGATTGGTTCATCCGCCGATGACAAGCCGGTAGGGCTGCGAGACTCCCAGATGACAACCCAGTCATGCCCAACTGACTGTTTGCGGGAGCGAAGGAGGGCGTACGGAGTAACGAGGTGCTGGTGTATCACGACACTTGGGAGAGGGCTTGCTCTTTCGTTGCACGCCGAAAGGGAGAGTTTGTGCAGATATCGATTTCTCTAGCAAGTTCCAAAGGCAGAACACCAAAACCGAAAGGCGATAGGCAGGCGAACCGCGGAACCCGCTTCATCGAAAAGCCGACTCGGACACCGCAAGGACTCTTGCGTCGGATGAACAGCCGGAAGCCGCGTGGCTGAACACGCCAGACACCGACTGAGTCCGGCACTGCGTCCCGAGCAGGTCAACCATCCCAACGAAGACAGGGCTGAGGGCACTGGCCTTAGCCTGGAACGGCAGGAATTGCAACAGTGATTGGCAGCGGTGGTAGAGGCCGCAAACCTTGATGGCTTCTAGTAGTTGGGCACTTTTGAGGCAAACAAGTGGCTAAAGCCCAAAGTCCTGCTTTTTCAAGTTCGTTTTATCTCCTAAATGCTTGGTCAACCTACAAGCATTGTTTCATTACCCAGCTTGTGGGCCAAGTGCGGCAATTTCCTCTATCCTCAAGTTACCAAGCTAAGTTGAGGTAGATATCGCCCCTTTGAAATTTGACATCAAGTGATTTCTGGGAAGAACGCACGGGCTAAGAAGTACGTCTTCGCAATGAATAACAGCATAATGCCCCACAAAGGATTGACCAGTCGGCTAATCTGTCAAAAGACTCTCCAATGAAAGGGTAAGGCTCCTGTGGAGCCGGACTCAAAATAGGAGGATGCCCGCGATGTGGAATCTTATATGGGGCACGAACGCGGATGATTCAGGCACCCACCCCCACGGGGGCTACGCCATGTTATGTGGGGCACCAAATGACATCCAGCATTGGCCCAAGCCATCTCGTGAATTGTTGATGTTGCTGCGGCTTTATCCCGCTCATCCCCTCATCGAATTGGAAAACCAATTGTAACACGCGGCTGCGGCACAACTACATCTACCCTTGCTCTGACCTGCGCTTTGACGTATGCCGGCTGTTATTTGTCGCCGAAATTACTCAATAATCTGGCTGGGACAGGAGGATCCCATGGTGCTACGCAGCTTTCGACACGTCGGGCTGGTAGGCTCGTGCGGCAAAGACCTTAGCAAGGGCGGGAGGTCGAGCAATTATGCCGAGAGGATGGAAGACGCCTTGGGTATTGACCTGTCGACAGCCTACTGAAGAATGGTAATTCGGTTTGGCTCTCGAAATTGGGTTCTCACAAATAACAATATAATTCCCAGAGGAAAAAGGTAAGATGGCACACGCCAAAGAGTTGTATCCGGGTAGTTGACATTTGCTGAAATTCACTGGGCGCGGGCCTGTATCCGCGGACTTCCACAGCTTCCGCAAAATCCCACTTGCCGCGAGCAGAGGCCTCATTGTATCTAAGACATCAGACTGCATGAAGCGCCGGCCGCGCTTGCCGGAGCAGGACCAGCGATCCGTTCATCTTCCAAGTTTCGCAAAGGGGGCTAATAGCAAGTACTCTCAAGGGCGGCAATCCAAAATAGGTCCAAGGATTAGAAAAAAGAAAAGAGAAAAACCCGAACGCCGGCTCGAGAAAAAGAACCACTTCGTGGCTAATGTGGGGGTTTGTGCGTCTCGGAAACGCACGGCTAAGTCCAAAGTCATGGGAAATCAATCCGTTAGTTCAAGCTGCTAAACCAAATACTCGAACGATTGTATGAGGCATGAAACGCCTCGTTCTCTCGCACCAAGCCCTAGTATGAGAAAGTGAAAGCGATTTCTTGCTGCCCCAGTCCGTAGATCGTATTGACTAGACTAGGGTTTGTATAGTTCCATGGACTGATTGCCAGGCCAAGATCCTCGGAGCACATGTAGACTGCCCCCCCTGCCAGCTTAGACCAACCTGGGATGATTCCCTGTACGGTACGATACTCTATGCTTTTGGGCGTCAACGTTGTCAACTTATCCGGAACAGTGACTCAGAATCCCTTTGATTTATCAAGAGGAATAGAGCACCTGTATATTGTTTGGAAGATTGACACAACGATGACCAAACGGAAAAGCCTCGTCGCCTCTCGCAGCAAGATGGCTTTGTAAATGTTGCGCCGCATGCAATTTGGGTATCTCGATGGCGATAATTGATTTGACCTTGACTGCTTTACCCTACGGAGCTATCAACGTCCAGGGGGTTCCTCATAGCTTGGACATTAGACAAGGATTCGCTAACGATGATACACTGCAGCATGACCAATTGGGTCTGGACAAAGTGAGTCAACCTGCGTCCCGACCGAACATTTCTTACCTACATAACGGAGTCCAAGTGCAGCCGACCACATATCTTTGGACTGTGAGCTTCCCCAAAGCGTTCGTGATATCTGTAAAGTTCGTTACTAGGCGAAGCGCCGAAGCCGAGGCAGCAGAATCAACAATCTTACTCTCTTTTTGCTTGTTGAATCAACTCGCGCAACCAATCTTCCAAAATCCTCCATACAATAATGGAAATACCCGAACTTGTCAGCAACAAGGAGCACTTACGACCCTTCTCCTGTAGCTGGGAGACCTGCAAGAAGGTAATGCTGTCCGAGGCTCGAGTAAAGTCAAGGGCTATAGAACTTCAGACGCAATTTACTCACACACTTTTTCCTAAAGGGATTCAACCGCAAGTCAGATCTGATCAGACACTTCCGAATTCATACCAACGAGCGACCGTATTCATGTCCCACACCCCACTGTACGAGGAGTTTCGTCCAAAGAAGTGCCTTAACTGTCCACCTCCGTACACATACGGGAGAGAAGCCCTATAAGTGCCAGTATCCTGGGTGTTACAAAATATTCGCTGATGTGAGTTATTCAGTTTTTCATCATGGAAACGGGAAACTAGGCTGGTATTCTGACACAAACATTCTCAAGTCTTCTAGCTTTTCGCGTCATCGACGGATACACCTAGGAAGACGCCCGTATACTTGTACCATTGAAACGTGCCATAAAAGGTTGGAGCCAGTTTTCCTCTCTCCAAACGAGGCAGCACTCGAGCTAATCGAGGATCAGTTTCTGCCGTAAATCAGCTTTGATTCGACATTCGAAGACCTACCATGATTCTGGAGAAGGCTTGTATACTTCTTCGAAAGGCCTTGCCATAACTTCGAAATGCGACAGCCATACGACCAGTCCGACCCCGCTGCTGGAAGGTGTCACTAGCTTCACACGAACGACTGAACAGCAACAATCTTCTCTTTGGCGCGCCTATTCTTTTGGGCACACAACGGACCAACTCAATGACATGCATGGAAGCTTTTACAAAGGCCAAGTCGATAACGAATTCGGCTCCCCCGTCCAAACTATAGAGTGTGAATTGCAAGAGTCAAAGGGCTTATATCACAGTTGCGTCTACTCAGCCTTGAACAAAAATTTCATGTATCAACAATTGAGACCCTCTTGGCACCTCTGTCCGTTGCTTCTCCAAGACCCAGAATATTGGGGTAATCCGGCAGTGAAGATGCTTCGGAGTCCAACAGATCTTCCCAGCAACGGTGGAGTCGCTAACAAGAACGGGTATTTGCTTATGCAGGAAGAAGCACTCCCAATAGTTGGGTTTCCTCAAGCTATTAGCACATATGATCCCCAGAATACCCATCAGGGGATGAGATGGTGGGAGAGTCAGATGTGGTTTTAAAATGATATGGAACTTTCTCCCGGTTTTAGCTATTTCATGATGTCAGACTCTTACAGGTTCGCCTGAAATATACATTTGATGATCCGCAAGTAATTCAAAATTGGTTTTCGATAGTTTGCGTCGCTCTTTGCCTGGTTGCTATTCAAGCCTTGGATAGATTGGTCTTGTGGTACGATCATCACTAAAGCACATTCGTTATACTATAATCGATGTGTACGCCAGCCATTTGTCGAGGGATTTGATTTGGATCTCTCGGTTCAGCTCCGTAGTATCGTCTAGCTATAGAACGTGGAACTCGGCTTGGGCGCTGTCGAGAATATGTTATAGCGGTTTAAGTTTGCTAGCATACATCCTCGGTCGCCCCTTCTCGAAGCTTGTCCGTATGATGTACACGATCTAAGCACTTGTGGGAATAAAGTACTGCTTAACCAGAAAGTTTTGGTACTCTTAGCTGTGTCGATATACGTCGGCAGCTTATTCCCTTCAGCGAGGCTTACGTCTGCCAACGACGTGCAGAGGGCACCTGGAAACCCGAATGCTCGCTCCTTGCATTGTAGTCAATCCGTGCATATTCTCGAGTTCCCACTTCTCCATACCACGTACTACACCTTGCCCCTTTTCAGAAATGCGCAGAAGGCGGGTGCTTATGCCTTGAGCGTGTTTAGCCGATGGGCAGTTTACATCGCCATGGCTTCGCTTGCTCCTGGAAACGCCTCTTCTGAAGACCCTAAGGGCAGAAGGAAAAGGCACACGCCGCCTTAGCAGCCAAGTCCAAGCCGCACCTCGTCTCGCACACCAACTCAAAGCTCGCTAACGTTCGTAAAGTTCAAGAATGAGGATTTGACCCGTAAGGAATTCTATGCCGTCACGGTCGTTGGTAAGACCGAGGCCTGGTTGACTGGCATGACCTAGCAACAATTAGCTACGGTGAATATTAGCGACATTGACGAATTTCATATTCCATGTTTCGCAACCTCCGTCGATGCCTTTGGTGTCGTTCCTGGCCACTGCCCAAGGACGAACGACCAAAGCATCGCTTTCGGCAAAGGTCAGTTCTTCCCCTGCGGTCCCGGCTCCCAGCCTCGGCGCTACTCGACCAGTAAGGCCCCCCCAGAGTTATTGGATGCAGTCTTCCCAAGCGTGCGGCTCGGCACCGACAGGACGCTGTTGAAGGTCCATGTTACTCACGGTGTTTGAAGGACAAATGTGCGGTCAGCGACAGCACAGGTGGTTCGACGTTGATATATTCACAACAATGACAGTAATACGTGTAACAACACTTGAAAGGCATTCGGAAACTCATTCCATGTTCCTTCGTGAGAGCTGACGTGTTCGTAATTTCGTTCATACTGTGCGACAGTAAAGACACCACTGTTAGTGAAGCAGTACGAGACTTTGCGGATCAGGACGAAGTTGTAGGTCATCTTATCCGAGATAATACCTCTTCCTCCTCAAACTCCATCTTTGGTGTTCAATAGGATGTTAGTACTAACTAGATGTAACAGAGGGCCAGATGACGGTTCTGTGCAACAAGTCGTCTGATGCCAATTTCTTTTGTGGCAATACTGACATTGAATGTATCGACACATTCTCATCAACAATTGTGCTATCTGGGAAGCGTTGCACCTTTACCAGTCGAGAAGACCAACGGAAATCTTCCCATCGGCCACTGTTCGGGCCGGAGATGAGCGCCCGCCAGCGCCAGCGACTCTCAATCAAACAATTCCGATTCCATACCGTTCGGCGATTGCCAATACGATCCATATTCACCACCCTAGTCCATGCTCACCCTCACCCATCCTGGCGTCTACAGCTCTTCGTGAAACATTCTCCTACTCACTCTTTCTTCATCTTCCAATGCTGCTAAATCGAAGAATATGGATAGTGGCGGCAGTGACGAATGTTCTTGTCATTGATTTCCAGATAATGCCCGTAAATCCGGACAGAAAGCACATCGTGCGAGATTCAGAAGACGAGAATTTAGTGATTCAGTCCGTCCCATCGCTCCGCGAGCCGGATAATTCCTATCTCGTTCTCATCCTTGATCACAAGCAGGTATTTTATTTCTACTGTGCCTCTGAAAAAACCTGATGAGAAGTACGACAGTCTGAATGACCATTTTTGCTCGTTGTGATTAAGGCAAAGTGCTGCAAGCCGTGTACATCGCTTCTAGCTTCATATGGTGCGTTTACGACGCTAGTCATTGAGTGAGTTATTATGTTGGTGACAATGATGGTGTAGTCATAGTAAGCGATGCCTGTAAGTTTTCGAAAATCAAGCTGGGAATTGCCTTTGGTCAGCTGCACCCGACTCTCCGGAGGCCAACGTTGTTCTGCTAATAATCTTAGCTTGGAAGACCTTAGTCAGTGTCCCCTAAGTTAACTGACTCAGTGGAGCGAGAATAGTTCGATGTGGCCTCTACGGACTTACGAAAGTCTAAGACCGAGACGCGGAGCACGGGATTACTAGATTCGGATGCTGCTAAATCAATTTAGATACTTTGTCGGGATTTCTTGTCTTTGTAATCTCCGTCATCACTCAGCATCGTTCCAAAGCTTACAAACGAGATAGACTTGGCTACCACGTAGCCTATTGCTTTAAGTACAGGACGAGATGAATGCCTTTCCGTGAGGTGTTTCAAACGAGAAAGGTTGGATTGCATTCACGAATTTGTTGCGAAAACTCCCAGCACATACCAGCTCGACATGTCTTCTTACTTCATCACTGGCTGTTCCCGAGGCATCGGTTTTGCGCTAGCAAGTCTACTTGCCACCAAGCCTGAGTCGGTGGTTGGCAAGATATTTGCTGGCGCTCGCAATGAGACTGACGCATTGAAGAAGCTCACAGCAAATTCCAACGGCCGTGTCCAGTTTGTTCCCATCGAGGTCACGAATGAGCAGAGTGTGAAGCAGGCTTTCGCAACGGTTAAGGAAGCCCTCGGCGGCAAGGGATTGGACATACTCATCAATAACGCTGGCATCATGAACTACACCATGAACGGTATCGAAAACATGTGAGTGGTGATCTTGTTCTCTGGTCAGCTTGTCACAATGACTAATCTGCCACGCCAAGGTCCGACCTCGCAGAAACCTATGACATCAACGTCGTGGGCGTCCACAACGTCACGGGCACTTTCCTGCCATTACTTAGGACAGGAAGCCAGAAGAAAATCATTAATATGTCCGTCTCACAATCTTGACTCTGCATATACGTTTGGCACTTACACGTGTTTTAGTTCCACCACTCTTGGCTCTATCGCCATGGCCGGCTTTTTCAAACATCAGCCTACGCCTGCCTACAAGGTAGCCAAGGCTGCTCTCAACATGCTGACTGTGCAATATGCGCATGAACTCGACTCTGAAGGCTTCACTGTCCTTGCTGTTTGCCCAGGTGTAAGTCCTCCGCCATAGGTCATGCGTCTTGTTACTGAATCTAGCGGGATAGTGGGTGAAGACTGATCTAGGAAGCGAAGCGGCGCACATCTCCGTCGAACAGAGCGTCAGCGGCCTCTTTGATGTTGTCTTCAACGCCGATGCTAGTCAAACGGGTAGCTTTCGGGTAGTCAAGGTGCCTGGCTGGAAGATTGAAGGGCGGGAAATGTACGATGGATCGAACCGGCCCTGGTAGACAGTCTCTGTCGGACTGAAAGTCCAACTCAACTATGAGTTAGATAGGTCGCAGAAGCCACGCTCATGACAAAGATCAATTCTCCGGCGACCAGCTGGTCACCGACGTGATGCATAGCCAACACAGCCAATCGAGCTTGGTCATTAGAATAGCTCGAGTCAATTGATATCAGTGTGATATAGATACCAATAGTCTTGGAACAATATGCCTTCAGTAGTGTTTGATGCCTGTTCCGAGAGCCAGTCTGTCAACGGTTGTACGGGCTTGTGGTAGTGTAATGGCTGTGATATCCTCGCCATAGGAGACACCTGCGTTTGTATAATGTTACGTTCCTATCGCTAGTTTTGTCCCCTCACTACAGCTGCTCTGGTAGCCGTACTTGACTCTCCAGTCACGGGTAACACTTCGATTTCAAAGTTCAAGTCGCATACCATGATGTCTCGATTATCGCCACCAGTATCTCCCTGGCTAGCTGTACTACCATACTAAGCTAAGTAAGAAATTCGCGGGCATCTTTACAGCGCTAACCAGTCCGTGCGTCGCTTAATAAGCATCATTTTGGAAGACACTTTGCGAGCAATGCGAGTCACTTGAAAGGACACGGCAGTGTCCGCTCGAACTATAACGACACCAATCCAGGAGCCTTACAAGGACCGGCAGATGGACTGGACTCCCAAGCCTTGAGCATGAGCTGATTCAGGGTTCTGTTCGTCAATTTCAGCTCTAGGTATACTCGGACATTCTAGCAACAGCAAATGCCGGTTGACAAATCATTTTGTTAATTTCGGTCCTCTCGGCCTCCGAGAGCATCATCGGTTCGAACTCTATTTCCTTTGCCGTGAAGCACAATCGTCTGACCCGTTTATATTTGCTTAATAATTTTTATTGCCCTCTGGCCGAGTACTACTGGAATGTTGAACGCCGATTTTCCGTGACTAACGAACGTATGAACTTCGGGGGTCTGAACTGTAATAGAGACAACTCAAATGCAAAACTCGCGTCCGCTATATCCGTGAGTGAGTCAGGAATGGCAGCGGCGCGGGGAAATCAACTACGTGCTTAGGATTTCCCCAGTATGAACTCTAACGGACTTTTTGGGGATACCGTCCACGACCACGTCGTCCCTCATGCCACCCTTTAGTTCGTACTGCCTCTTGTAGGTGTCGGATTCGAAGTCCAATTCGACCTCGAGGCAAGGGGCCCGCGCAGGGGCCACTTACAGACCGTACTTACGAGATCCACGCACGGTCTGCCCAATCTCCGGTTGGAACCTCCCTTTTACACCTTATGCAGAAGTTAATATATATCGATTTGACCTCTTCGTCACCCACGGTTCAAACCAATCCCCTGTGATAGGGATACCAACAGTAGGCCTCGGCCCCGATTCATGCCAGTGTCTATCCAACAAACGTTTGCGCAATTTTCGTTACGTCGTTACGTCGAAGTTGCAGGAAAGCGGGCGTCGTAGTGAGGACGCAAGGAAGCGCTGACTTGGGGAAGCTCAGCTTTTCGTCTTTGAATGATACGGTTGCTGTCGACCACTGTGGCTGTCCGGCTCGCGGAGAGCAGTTCTAGCCAATTGAAAGATGAGGCAATGCCTTTTGCCCTGGTGCTCGCGTGATAAGATATTTTGAGAGTGCCTGTGCGGTTGAGTAGTCCGGTGATTAATTGCTCTGTCATTTCCCGACAGCTTTTTGTCGTAAGAGGTACGGGCGTAAGCTTACAAGGCCTCATAGCTTTATACCTAAGTTGACCCCTTGGCACATTTGCCAGTGAACTTTAATGATACGTCAATATGTCTTATTTCTGCTATACCCTCACGTTTAACCATATGACAATGTCTTTGGATTTGGAAATCCTGCGGTCTCCATGCTAAGCGAATCTTCCGCATCTCAGGCGCTGACACGTTGTTGTCCAACCTTGGCAGCGAGCTCCAGGCCCTCGGCGACATCTCCAGGTTTAGAGAGGAATGGGGAATGAGAGGCTTTGCAAGAGTAAGTGAAGGCGTTGGGGCCGAGAAGCGAGGCCATGCCTTGCTGAGCGGCTAGGGGAAGTGCCTTATCCTCTTCGCAGAAGAAGAACATGGTGTCAATCTCGTGCCAGGGCTCATAGGTGACAATGTCGTCAAACACCTGGGCAGACTGATGCTGCAACTGCTCAATGGCCTTGCTGCGAGCCTCGGGCTCAACGTCGTGGTAGAACATCTCCTCGGGGTTCTGGGCGTAGACGCGTTGGCCCTGCGGTCAAGAGTGTAAACTTGGATTCGCAGACTGATGCGTTTGAGCGTGTCCTCATCTTACCTCGAACTTTATCCATAGCGGGAAGTCGCCTCCCAGCATCTCTTTCATACACTTACCCTTAGGCACGACAAAGGCACTGAGGTAGACAAAGGTAATAACGCCACCCTTTTTACCCTCCTTCATACGCTCCTTATAGCCGAGGCCTTCAACGGCGTTAGCTCCGACGAGACCACCGTAGGAGTGCACGACGAGCACAATCTCCTTGCCCTCGTCCACGAGCTTCTGAAGAACGACTCTAACAGCGTTGGCATCGTCGTTAATGCCCTTGGTTGGGGGCTCAGCGCCGACCGATGGGTATCTGACGGCCTTGACGGGGTAGCCACGGGACTCAAGGATTCGTTGTGCGGGCGAGTAGCAGGTCTCCCTGTGCCACGCACCAGGTGCGAGGACGAAGGTGGGCTTGGAAGGCGACATGATTCGTGATGTGATGGTGGCTGGCTGGCGAAAGAAGCGTGAGAAGTGGCTTGGTAAGGAATTGGGAGAAAACTGGGAAGCCTGGTCCATTGATTGATGGAAGAAGATGTTGTCATACCATTATATATGAGCGAGAACTAATTGCCGCTTTCGCCCCATCACGTCCCCTCGATAACTCCCCATCTCGACTGCCTTGGCTCGCGCAAGCAGCTGTAACCGGGTCTCGCGACCCCTGAGCAGAGCATCGCATCGTCGCACTCAATGCGGAGCATGTCTTCAACGGCGCTTCTCGGCGGGTCGCTATGTCAGAAAGGGTCTTGCCAAGTGGTGGTACGTGCGCATGCGGAAGATACAGCACTCAAGGGTAGCGTTCTGAGCAATCATGCCGGCTTGAGACACCTTGAATGGGCCACATCCGAGGATTTAGCGGCCCTATGATCGATTCTCGACAACAGCGTCCTAGCGGAGAGCGGAAGGCTTTATGTGGTATTTGCGGGCTTCATCTGGGCATTCCGAACTACAATCCATGTGTGATACAGAGGGCTGCTGGATGACAGGTGGTGATGGATGACTGGCCCAGCGTGCAATGATGCAGCCCCATACATCAAACGCTCATGGTAGCTTGAAGTGCCGCGCACGCCAACTCCGAAGTCGTAACAGGCCAGGCGGCGCAGGACACGAAGAGCTTTGTAGGTCGCGCTTAGAGCTACTGCAGCTTGAAATTGAATTGTGTCGGTGACGGGCATTGTGGCTGGATGGACAACATCATTTCCGACTTCTGTTTGACTTACTTGGAGTTTTGCGTTTTTTCAGCTTGAAATTGACTAATTCTGCTGCTGGGAGGGAATGACCGCATGAACTCTCTAAGAGAGTCCTCTGGGGCCGGTGGGTCAATTCAGCGGCCAAGGGCGCTCGCTGAGGCCGTTGATGGCTATACATAAGCGGGTACATCCTCAGCCACACGGGGCTATATACCAGACCTCTTACGTTACCTAGAATTTAGTTTATCTAATTTACTATTTATTTAGATTTTTATTTATTATAAAATTAGAAAAGTTTTTATAGTCTATATAAACCGTAACTTTATACTTAATTAAGTTTTTCTTATTTATCTTATTAACTTAAAATTACTTTTATAATAAAGTCCGAGGCGTCGGTCTTAACTTTAAAAGGTCGTTTTAAATTAAAAAGTATAATTATGAAATTAAAATTTAATTATATTTTTATTTTTAATAAATATTGTTTTATAATTTAAGTTTTAAATAAATAATATATTCTTTTTAGTTAGGTTCTTAAAAGGTTTAATTATGTTAGCATAGTTCTTAAAAAATCGTTAATAAAAATTAATAAAATTTAGAAAGGTTTATATGTCTTTAACGTTCTAGGGTATAAGCTAGTCCTTAATTATTTTTACTTTTAATAGTTATATATATATTTATCCTAATATAATATTATATTTAAGAAATTTAACTTTTTAAATAACGTATATAATAAACAATAAATTAGACAAGCGAGTGAAATATAGAACCGTAACTATATTATTTTAATATAATCGGGCGCTTTTCTTCTATAATTTATTATAATATACTAAAATAAAAAATCTAATACTTAACTTACCTTCTAAGCTATTTAAAGTTATCTAAAATTAAGTACTTAGGCTATAACTAAGATCTATTTAGTTAGTTACGTTATATTAACTTAGTAATTAAAGGGAGTACCGTTACAATATAATATTATACCGAACTTATATAATTTAACGGTTCTTAAAAAAGAAAAGCTAGTTAAATATATCCTTAATTTAAATTTCTAATTATTTCCTTCCCGGCTTTATAATATTAAAGAAATAATAAATCGATTATTTATTAATCGTAATACGCTCCTTATTAAGAAACAATAGGCTTCGAACTTTATTAAATAATAACTATAATTATAAATATATTATTTTTATAAGTACGATTATAAAAAGGCCTAATATAAAGATCTAATTATAATAAATATATAATTCTCACTTATAATAAATATAATTATAAAATATAATATTATAAACTTAAATATTTATAACTTTAATAAAACTAGTTTTATAATAAATTAAATCTTAATTAATATAGTTATAATTAATACCGAAAGGCATTTAAATATAAAATTAATATAGCTTAATAATTATAAATAGGTTATAGTTATTTAGGCTATTAGTTTATTAGGTTATAGCGTCCTACTATATATTATTATTATAGGCTAATATTATTTTTCTACTTAATATATAGAATTTAATTTCCTATATAATTAAGTTATTATAACGTTTAAAAATAGATATATAATAAATAAAGAAAGTTTAGATTAGGCTTAATACTTTAAATAATATATAAAACCGTATAAAAAGGGTTAATATTACCTCCTTATCATTAATAAATATAAGAATTATTATTTTACGGATTTTAAGCTTTTTTATAAAGAGAATAATATTATTACCCTATATATACCGGCTTATTTATCTTATTTATTCTAGCCCTTAAATATTAAATATTTTAGGCCTTTTAAAATAATATATAGTCGAAAAATTAAAGATAAAATACGTCGGGGTAATATATATATTATTAAAAAGGACTTTTTCCCGGTATTTTATAAGGCTTTTATATAAATAATTATAAAAAAGAATATCTAAAAAGGATTTAAAAAGGTAGAGTTTATACCTTTAAATATAAAGAATATACTTTCAAAACTTAATATAAAATTATATATTTTAACGCCTTTAAGATCCTTCTTAATAATACCCCTAATATAAACTTTTTAAATATTAAATAACCTAACTAAGGTATCTTTATAATTATAACTTATTAAAAATAAAATTGCCTATTATTAAAATAGCTCCCTAACTTCAATTATTAAAACTATAAAATATCTATCTAAGGGGGCTCGTAAATTTATATATTAAATCGCCTTATTAAGATTTAAAAACTAGATCCTTTAAAAGAAGAATAACTTACTTAATTAATACTAGAAGGCTAAAGGAATATATCTTAAATAAAAAGGAAGCCTAATTATAGCTAAAAAAAGGACTTTTAAATATAAAAAGAGGCTACGGCCTAAGTTAAAAAGGAAATACGCTAGAATAATAATTATTAATTAAGGACCGAAATAGGTTAATAGCACTATAATATCTATAGGAATATTAAATATAATATATAAACATATTAATTTAATAAAAAAATATTTAAAAATAAAGATCCTAAATAGTTTTATTAAATTAATAAAGTAAGTATAGAGATTTATTACTTTATATAATATAGTTGCGGTTCTATATTTCACTCGCTTATCTATTTCACTTGCTTATTATATAGGTTATAGTTAATAATATAATAAATCGTTTAATAATAAAATCCGATTATTTTAATTATAAAGAGTAAGTAAAGAAGTTACGTTTTTAAGGGAGGGCTATAAAGTTATAAAAGAAAGCTAAAGCTTATTAAAAGGCTTAAATTAAATTAAATAAGTCCTTATTTAAATTAAAATATCTTCGTTTTTAAAAGTAAATAATGTTTATAATAAGTCGTATCGTATTTAAGAAATTCCTTAAAGATATTAAAAATACTTTTTAATAGCTCGGGAGGGATAAATTAATAATATTTTTAAAGTTATTAATTAAGATACTATAATAATTAAGAATTTTAAATTCGATTTTAACTTCGGTATTTTTTAAGAAGTTATTAGGAATTCTAGAGGTTTATAATAGGTTCTTATATATTTTCCTTATATCTATAGTTTTTTTATTTAATTAAAAATCTTATATTTCGTTCTTAACTTTATAATTAATAATTTATTCGATTTTATATTTTAATTAGTTTAGTTTTATAATAATATAGTCGTTTATATATAAACTTTAAAGTATTAATTTTAAAAATAAGATATAGAATACTAAGTAATATTGTTACGGTACTAGGCATTAGTCCCTAGTAGGCCCGAACCTTAAGTACTTAGTAGACCCTTTAAAAGTTACGTAACCTCTAAACCACTAAGCCTAAAAGCCTAATATATTAAAATCTATTTACTATTCTATTTTTTCTTTCTTTATATTAAATTATATCTATTAAGTTAATATAATAACATTCAGACCTACCTTAAGTTCCTTATTATGATACTATTTAACGTTATTTATAAAACCATTAATTTTTTAAAAACGGAATAATAATATCTTAACTTATTAAACCTACTATACTGATTAATTATTCTTATTAAAAAAATACGTAAAATAAGCTATATAATAACCGACTTAATACCCGTATAAAATAATCGATATTTCTTAAATATATATGTGTTACGCTTTATATATAGTAAAATAGTAATAATGGTAAGATATCCCTTTTAAGATTTTACTATACCTTTACGGTAAAATCTCTAAGAAATACCTTAAGATTTTATAAAGAAATCCTAAGGAAATCTTTATAATATCTAGTAGCCTTTCGTTAAGAATTCCTAATAAATTCTTATAGGTTTTATCATAAGGTCTTTCATTATAATAATAGAGAAATTACAGTAAAATCTCCCTAATATCTATAAAAAATCATAATAAATACCCCTTACTAAAAAAAACTATTTCGTCCGTAAAATCTATAAAATAGCCGAAGTATACCGGTTATATTTTATAAATTATTTATTTATAATATATTAAAATTATAAAGAAGTTATATATATAAATAAGAGATTAAATAGAATAAATAATTACTTAATTAAATAAAAACCTTAATTTATTAATTTACCGGCTACTTAATATAATTAAAAATAGTATTAACTATATTTCTATAGTTCCTCCGTATATCTTTAGCCGAAGTATAGGTTAGGGGTTATTACTGCCTATTTAATATCGTTAACCTATTTAATATCGTTAATTATATCGATATTATTAATATTAAATAGAGCACTAACGTAAGCTAGTATAATTTCCTTTTTATTATTATACTTAATAAGATTATCTAGATTTAAATTAAAAAGCTAGGACTAGCTATAGTACTATATATATATATAAACGGTATTAATAATAAAATAGAGGTCTTTAACTAATTTATTTTTAACGGTATTAATAAGGGCGGTTTTATATATTATAATATAATCTTTATAAACTTCGGCGTCTATTTTAATAAAGTAAGTAATATTTATTAAGATCTTTAAATTATAAAAAATCTAGTTTAAAAGAAATCTATTTATAAGTTTATTATCGGCTATAAATAAACCGATAATAGCGTAGAGAACAGCGATTATATAGAGAATATTAATAATTCCCTCTCCTTTATAAACGAATATATAAAAACTAGGGCTTTAATTAATTACATTAACTAGGCTAATATTAGGGAGGCTAGCAAAGAGCTATTTAAATATATATTTATAAAATATATAGTTATTTATAAAGTACATAATTCGGTCCTAAAACGCTATAGTAAAAGCGGGGATCTTATTAAATTAAATATTCGTAAAAATAGTACGGGCAGCTATAAACGGGTTATATATAATAAATTTATCTTTATATAATATATAATATACTTTAATTAAGGTTTCGATAGCTTTATTATTATTAAAAAGTTCGATAATACTACGCTTATTAATAATTAAAAAACAGGTCTCGTTAATTATATTATTAATTTTATATAGCGCAATCTCTAAGCTATTTATAACAAGGTTAAAAATAAGTATATCGAATACCTCCTTTAAGTAAATATATATATCTAGGTACTAGATATATATAATTATTATATTACGGCTAGCTAGTCGTAGTGAGTATATTTGTAGAAGTTAAGGCTATAATACTAATAAATAGCGTATCGTAGTTATAGATAGCTTCCTTAAAGTTATATTTATAAGTCGTAAGGTAAGTAAGGCTTTAGTAATTAATCGTAGTTTTATTAAAAGGGTTTTTAATAAAGATAGCTAAAAGTAATTATAAGATCTAATATTAAGTTAATTATTATAGAAGCTATAGAAAGTCTATCCTTAAGCCCGGCTTAAATCTATCTTATATATAAGTCCCGTATATTATTTAAATAATTCTTTTATAGTTAGGACCGATATTACAATATCGGTCCTATAGGGATAGATTACTTTTGTTTTATTAGTCCTATTTATAAACTATTTATCGTCTATCAGTCCTTTTTATTATTACGTAACTTACCTATAATTTTTCCGACCTAAAAGGAGTTATTTTAAATCCGTTTTTCTATATATATAGTATAATAGCCGCTATAGGCCTTATAGGGTAAGACCCTAGCTTTATTATATATATTAGGTCGTAATATTAGCTCCTTTTCTTAAAGGTCTAGTCCTCTAGGCCTATAAATAGGTCGTTTATTCTTAAGTTAGGGAATTATTAAGTATTTCATTAAAATATACTAATATAATATTAAGTTAAATTAAAAAATCGAATTTTAAAGTAAAGTCTAGAAAGATAAAGATAAAGGATCGTAAGCGTTTTACTTTTTTAGAATTTATTAAAGTTCGTTCGGTTATTGTTAATATACTTTATACTCGTTGTTTCCGTATAAAGGTCCCGTATTGGTTTAATAAAGGTTCTTTTTATTATTGGATTTATATTAAGGCAAAGAAGTTTTACGATAGGGTATTAATGGTTTCGACTTATAAGGTTATTTATTACTTTTTTTTATATTTTTAACGTTTTTTTGTAGTTTAAAAACTCAATATTTAGTAATCGCGAAGCCGCTGCTTCCTCCTCCAGTTTAGCGGCGCGTCCCGTTCGGGCATGGCGCCCGCGCCGCTTTGCACGTGCACCCCTGTCTGCGCCCATTGACGCCGCCCATAAATACGGCGCCGCGCGCAACTTCCAACCTAGACCCTTTGTACTACCTACCTTTTCTTCTATTCCTTCCACCACAACACCGTTGCTCGGCTTCCCTGCTTCTCCTGAGTCGCGCCCATATCTGCAGGCGATGCGACCCGATTCCTTGCACTGCTGCCTTGGTCCCGTCGTGCCATAATCTTGTCTCAAGCGCTTTCTTGTCAAGGTTTCTCTGACGACCCAGGCGTCCTCTCCGGCCCTTCCTGCCTCTGGTCTGAATTTCATTTTGCATTGCGATACGATGAGAGTTTTCTGACCCAAAAGTAGGAGATCCAAACGCTTGCAAAAGGGAGAAGATGACCCAACGGAGTGCGTGATCATGAGAGGCCGACTGAAGAGCATCGTCGTGCACTGCATCGGCCCTCTGTGTGGTAACTGCACGACGGGCTCCGCTCGTTGCGCACCTTGATGCCTCGAGCTCATCTCGGTTATTGGGCTCGACACACCGCCAATGCCCATGCCCTGTCCCCTTACTATCACCAGGCGGCAACTTGGTGGTGCAAGGGGGTGGATCAGGCAGCTAGTTTGGTCTTGGTCGCGGAGCATGGACTGACATCGTCATTGCACCTTCACGACCTCGTCATATTCGGTCCGACTCTCAAGATGTGCGCGTTGAATACCCGATTCAGGCTACGCTTTGGCACAGTTGGATCACAACGGTTGTGGCATAGCGGGCGTCGTTCGTGTCTGCCTTGCTGTTCTGCCTCGGCAATGTCCCTGTCTTCCAACATGTAACGCCTCGGAGAAATGGAATGGCATCTCAGACGGAGATAGAGCCTGTTTGGTTCCCACGATGGCGTCGCTCACTGCGGAAGTTGTCTCTGAAACCCTGTCCGCCCAGCGGCTGCTCCGAGAACTATTGAGCGATGCATACGGAACTCAGGGAAGCCGGTCTCAGGTTAACTAAGTATCTATGGGGCGAGAGCTCCTAGTGACCCTGATTGGCAAGAATACGATAACAGCTGCGAACTGCGGTGCGATAGATGTGCCTGGACAGTTCAGACGCTGCATGCGTACGTGTTCGGGATCAAGGAGGACTCTTGGCGCGCTCGGCAGTTCTCCTTTTCGGACAATACGGGAGCCTTTGATGGTTTGCACTTTTCGCTGCGTATCGACTACTTAAGCGAGTAAGTTAGCCTACTCAGCTTCGACACTTTCATCTCTTCTATACATCACGTTCATAAGCTTCCCAACATTCTATCGAAAATGTCCATCGATCTTGACAACATTTTATTCTATGTGCCTCCTGCACCATCTGTGCCTTATTCGGCAGTCAAGGCCACAAATACCCAGAGCCTCAGTCCATCTTGTCCGACCACTGAGAGAACCAAGATACCTTTGTGTGGCGCGTTGATCTCGGACGATGAGACTACAAGCCACATTGAGGATAGGTTTACTGTGTCATCTCAACTCCATCTAGAGCCAACTATCGACGACACACCCGCCCCTGAAGGCATGGACCATCTATTCTCTGACTGTTGTCCTGTCTCGAGCGATACTGGCCATGGCCCGGCAGAGAAGTCGGTAGCAGTGGACGTTACCCAACGAGAGAACCAGCTTGAGCCGGGAGCTTGGTCTTCGAACGATCTACCAATCTCATTGCCCTCTGCAGCATCCGGCCACTCCACCTACATGCCTGCCGTGCCTCCTAGCCCTCAAAATGTTGAGACAACGACCAACCCGACTTTCCCCGAGACTTTAATCGACACTACATCGGGGGCCGGCTTTGAGCCTTCTGATAAAGAAAGCCCTACCAACTTCACTGGGCAGCAACGACGGCCTCCAACAAGTCAAGCGGCCGGTGATGGTTTTCTGACTTGGCTGCAACCTCATCAAACCATACCGGCCAAAAGTACGAAAGCCAGAGAAGCTCCGGAGTCCCCTAGCCAGAAGTCCAACCCGATATTATGTCCGTCTTCGACAGAAACTGAGCCGCCATTCTCTGCGAGACAAGATACGCTCCACTATACTCACCCTTCCACACGCCAACCTATCCTGCCAGAAGAAATACGTCATACGACGACGAACATCGGCGCCAGAGGAAGCGACCTAGCCTTGGACGACGCACCTGATCCACAGATTACAGGTACACCAAGCTGTTCTAGCCATTGGCTACCCTCGACGGACCAAATGCATATCGATACTGAGACGAAAGCTCCAGGCGCCTCCCCGCTGCCGTCACCTCGAATCCGTCACCGAGTCCGTAAAACACGGCTTCCTGCAGGCGCTTATGCTGAGCCTGACTCGGATCCCGAATCTGGTGATGAGGATGGCGCTAAACGAAACAACGACGACAGAACTCGGCCAGAGCCCCCGGGCGATGACGGTAGTTCTGGCCAACGAGGCCAGTCAAGACATGAGCGTCGCAAAAGGGACCATTCCCTAGAGATTATAGGGAAAAGCAGGGCTCTCAGACCACGAAAGGCGCCTTCAAGACCATCTGTGGGAACACGAAGTAGGTCAGAGCTGGTTGCAAAGCATACGAGGGCAAGCGGAATAATAACTCCGCCAGTGTCTTGTGCTTCTTCTGATGACGAACCGGGCCCCGAAGTTCTCTTTGCGCGTTATGATGAGTTTTCGCTCCAAAACGCAGTTCTTAAGCGAACAGTTGAGGGATGTGTAATTACATACCAGTTGCAATGGGAGCAGCCTGCAGAAAGACAACTGCAATGTCATTCCTCAGGCAGCCTAGGCTTGAGGCCTTCACCGGGAAAGCCAAGCTCTCCAAGGCAGCCCTCGAGACGCCGAGGTCCGTTTTCAAAGCATGAGAATGAGCTCCTTATTCAATTGAAGGGAGAAGGCCTCTCCTGGAAGGAGATTTACAACGGGTTTTCTGCCTCCTTTCCGGGTCGCTCTCTAGGGACGTTGCAGGTTCACTTCTCTACCAAGTTGAAGAGACTGAGGACTAGCTGTTGAGACAGTATGTAAGAGTAATAGAAAAGATTGTACTCGAAATAAGAAGTATCTCTACGAGATCTCGGTGTCAAGGAAACAGGCCGGTGCGCTAGTCTTTACTTTGTTCAAAATCGCCACCTCATATCGCTGATGAACTAGTTATATTCGACATGATAGGATGACACGAAGCTACACACTTGCTTCGAGATGAGCTGACATCTTGAGGGCCAGAAAAGGCCTAACAGGCGCATAGACATAGAACGACGTACACCGTGGAGGATGCGGATGTGCCCATGTACTCTAACTGCTTCGAGCTGATGTCGTCCACCGGTGGGTTAATTATTACCGCCGCTGCGTCGACGTGGCCGTTGATGCTGCTTCCGTCGGTGTAGATGCGGACTACCCCCGGCTCTGTGGCGCCATGCTCCTTGATTGCGTCATTGGTGGTGGTGTTTTTTCCCATTGTAACTTCTTGCCTACTAGGAACGATCGGGTAATCAAAAGAATGCATTTTAATACTATACCAGTAGTAAGTAACGACAAAAGAATGGCTGCGTACGCAGAAGGGTGCGCCAGCGGACCTTCGTACGCATTGCTCGTCGTGAGACTAGCTGCGTACGCAGAAATATGCTTCAGAATGGCTGCATACGAAGAAGGGTGCGTCAGCGGACCTTCGTACGCATTGCTCGTCGCGAGATTAGCTGCATACGCAGAAATATGCTTGAGAATGGCTGCGTACGCAGGAGTCTGCTTAAGCAGCTTCACCAACGCAGCTTGTACAGTACCACCTACAAACACGCACGATGTATTACGCTCGGCGGCAAAGCCGAAAAAGGCCACTAAAGCCGACTACATGTACAGGCTAAAAAGCGTGATCAGTCTCCAGGATCCCGTTTCCTTCCCTCGCCTGCTTACTCCCAGGCTACAGTTAGGCTAATAATCGGAAATGGGCTTACGAGGGAATCGTCTCCATTTGAAAAGGTCCGTTCTGGGCTCTTCTGCTTATGAGGTACATTGACAGACAAAAAGCAACCGGCAGATAAGCTGCAGTACTTACAAGTCCGATTATTGCTCTTCAATCAGCGCGAAGTCGCCCGGGGTGATAGATGCTTATGCTGACTCAAAAGCCAAAATCAGCTTGCGCCAATTTCGGCTGTGGAGGTACTGTGGTGATTGGGGAAGTACCTGCATGTGCAGTAATGTAGCCACGAAACACAACCCCACCAACTATGACGGCATAGGGACCCCTCGGTCTTATTCGCGCAATCTAACAACCCCGCACCCGCCTTCAGTCTCTGTCAATTTGACCCCATGGCGCGGGGTTCTGCTCAGACCCCTAAAACGATTTCTTGAGTGTCCTTGTTGGTGCACCAGATGCCTGTTCCCCGGTTCCAGTCCAGCTCCTCCGCAATCCTGGAACTCGGTCTCGCAAATGCCCAAATACGGATTCCCAGGATGCACGATTTGATAAATAGAAAGTCGCCGGTTCGTGGTTCAGATATGCTGCCGGTACCTTCACTTTCAGTCGACAATTTAATGATTTCCTCTGACTGCCGCCCATCACTGGCGACCTGTTAACGTGCCAGGCTCTTTCTTGCACCATGCAAACATCGCTTCTGCTAAGCCCGCTTGTGGAAGGGTTGATTGTAGAATACGCGAATGTGATGCATGCGCAATAAATGATTCGTGTAAGGCATTTCGTTGTAGGGTATTTCGTTGTGGCATTCCGCTGTAGCATTTCGTTGTAGCATTTCGTTGTAGCATTTCGTTGTAGCATTTCGTTGTAGCATTTCGTTGTAGGGCATTTCGTTGTAGGGCATTCCACTGTGGCATTCCACTGTGGCATTCCGCTGTAGGGCATGTCCGTTTCGTTGTGGCGTGGGTTCGACTCGTAAGCACCGGGAGAACCTAAGGGCCGGTGAGCAGAGCCTACTCAAGCGGAAAATCGTGCCGCCGACACCTGTGATCTGCTTACGTCCACGCCCACAGTAGTAAGGTTACACTCGCTGCATTACCAATCGGCAATAGACTCCCAGTCATTCAATTTTCACGTGACCCAGTGCGTGGCATCGTCTCTTTAGCCGGGCACCACAGAACGTGATGACCAAGCCCACTATTGCCCTACGAAAGATCGATGACATGCTCTACAGAATCAACCCAATCTCACGCGCATTGAGTGCTAGCCCTCGGGCACGTTGCGATCGAAACCCTTGAACTAGAAGCCCGGTTGGTAGACTGCAGATTGGCTGCGCTCTTCACAGGATCCGGCGTTCCGCACAACCTGTTCGAGGGATCCCTTCCCGACGACCTGCCCGACGACCTTACCGACGTCCTTACCGACAACCTTACCGACGACCTTCCCAACGACGAACGAATGAGGGAACCCGAACCAATTAACGCCGGACGTCTGGCCCGAGCGCTGACCCTCTCGTTGGTATGGATCAGGACGAATCAATATTTTGGACGTCTCTGGAAGCCTCGGACTGGGTTGCTTTCGGCATGCGGGTTCTGCATCAAGGTCAAACCATATGCGAATCTGGCCGAGGCACACACTATGCAGTTTGTCGCCCAACACACTTCTATTCCCGTCCCTAAAGTGTATTGTGCCTTTGTTCACCAAGGGTCTACGTACATTGTGATGTGCAAGATCAACGGGCAGATGGCATGGCTGCGCTGGAAGGAACGTTCGCAGTCATCCCAACGACGGATCCTCGAGCAGCTGCGTGGCATGGTTGCACAGCTACGCGCTATTGCCCCAACAGAAGGCGTCGGTATCGCTAATATTGATGGTGGCCCTATTTACGATTGTCGCTTGCCTTCAAAATGGTTTTGGGGGCCCTTTGCTACAGTACGGGACTTTCATAAGGAGCTTGCTAATGGTGCCGACCTTGAAATTCGTTATGAGAATCAACCCCCAGATCTGGATGAACTCTTAACTTTCTACCGCCAAGCGAACAACAAACTAGTCTTAACACACGGAGACTTAAGCAGCTTGAATATCCTTATACAGGGAGATGACGTCGTTGGCATCGTTGATTGGGAAACAGCAGGCTGGATGCCCTCATACTGGGAGTACACGTCTGCATGGTTTGTGAATCCCCAAAACCCGTTTTGGCAGCAAGAAGTAGATAAATTTCTAACGCCTATGCCGTATGAGCTGAGGATGGAACACATACGTCGTACATACTTTGGGGCAACATGAGCTAAATAACAACTATATCCTTGCGGGTTCTTAACATGTGTCTTCCTTTGTTGTAATAGTATTTACAGCTATGGTGATAGTTCTCTGTTATCCAGCATGTCCCAGGTCGGTGCTTTAGTAGGGTCATAGTCCGAAGTACCATCAAATCGATGCTCAGCCTTCTTCTTTTCAATATACCACATAACTGTGTCCCGTACTAACTTCCAGTTGTCAGCGGATGTGCCGAGAGCATTGCCGTCTCTTAACGCTGTCTCGAAACTCTCCTTCGCCCATCCGACGCAGTTCCAGCCTTCAACCTCTGGCCGAAGCGGCGTATCCTCGAAAATGGATTGAAGTCGGCTTTTATCCTTGACCTTGGCGATGACGACGCGGATTAGAAGCATGGATGTAGGCGCCAGGGACGTTTCACGGTTCTCATATACCCAGCGCGACTTTGGCGTGGGGGGAGTGCCCTCGAAAGTCATGGTCTCTTTGGCATGAAACCGTCTCCCATGACTGTTGACGGACTCTGTTTTGGGCCCGACGATGAATGCCCAATGGTATCTGAACAGTTGTCAGCATTGTTCCACAACGCCATAGGTAGGAAAAGCCAGACGTGTCTTCAAGACCCGCCATCTTTGGTGCGCCGCCACGGGCATACAGGGCGATGTACAGGCGATCCTTATCGGAGGGCATCGTGGGTTGGGTGTTGCGAGTGAATTGGAAATATAAGGTATTGCTCAGAGAGATAATTGTACTGTAGTAAAGGATCAGAACGACGCAAATAAAGTGAACAATGTTTGACCCTTGCTAGCAGTTAAATACCGAACGTCATGTCGAGCGAGGTTCTAAGCGCTGGCTTTTGATGTGTATGACATGATCAAGAGGTGCCAAGCCTCAGAGGTGATGGCCCCTGGCGGCACGGAAGCAGAGATCATTGGACGAGAAGATTACCGAACACTCTGCTGAGACGAACAGGTGGATGCCATCAGTATAGCTTCTGATACCTTCCCACCTATGATCGTGGACCACAGACCCGCTCTTACTACAGGCATCACTCTCATTCATTCCGAGTAACCGCTATCCCTTATCAAAAAGGGTAAGATCTCTTCTGTAGGCGCTAGGGAGCATTGAACGTGTTGAGGCCGCTTCTTACATAAAGTCTTAACAACATCACCAACCAAATGGCGCGCGCTCTCCTTCGTACGTATGACTAAATAATACGGTCAAACCAGACGAAGCACGGGATATGTCTGTTCTGCCACCGGGCTTTGGCGCATCGACTTCTGCAAGGGAAACGCCTCACTTCAACTACCAGGCTGATTCCGGAACCTCATCCCTCACAGTCAAGACTGAGCCATCTTGTGCAATATCGGGGGATTACATAGGCTAGAACAAAGATGAAGACAGAGAAAAGGTTTAGGCTGACGAGCGTGAGACGTAGGGTGCGTTGACACTGAGACTGACACTAGAGCTTTCCATTGTGTGCTTAACTAAGTTACTCGGACCAAAATTCCCGTAGGTACTGGAGACAGTGGCGTCTAGATAATTACCCTTAGACGATATGAAATGTCAAGCTATCTCGGATGGGCAAGAACAGCCTCGAGCTGATAGTCAATGCTATAGATTCTGGCTGTCCTGGTTGGTACGCGGACGCCACCGAGCGACCCATAACCCCAGTGTTTTCTAACTCCTAAATTAGAGTTTTGGAGCGCTCCAGAAGTTGCGGGGGACTAACGTAATGTCCGGACAGCTGTGCTCAACTCATCCATTACATCCATCCATTCTTGGCTTTGCTGCTGGTTCGTAGAGACAGACCAGCATTTCTCGAATGGGTGTCCAACATAATGATAAAACTCAGACAACAATTGCTTACAAGAAAGTGTTGTTTGATCAAGTACTTTCCAAGGCTGCCAGGGATGTTGCCAGAATCCATCCTACAGTTCGTCAGCAGGTTATAATCAAAATAGCTTATTAACCCACAGGATCTTCAAAGCGATTCCAATAGATGTTGCGTCCTGCATCCACCTCTCGCACATGTAATAAGAAGAAGTAAATCAGGATAGTGACAGGCAAGTCTTCTTCCCGCACTGATTTCCTTGGTTTGTTGAACTGTATATAAGAGTCCATGTCCTTCACATACTTCTCAAGTATGTGAATGACTTGGCTCTGGACCATGCGAGGGACTGGTATCGAGTTGCACCATGGTGATTCCGAATCCAATACTTCAAACATGCCCAGATGCTCTGAGCCGGAAAACTTTAGCCGCAGTCGCATGAGTCGAAATGCGGTGTATAGTTCTAAACAAGCTGCGATCATGTAATGCTATACTTGTCAGGTCTCGTCGTGCGCACCAGTGGTATACATACCGCTCGAAGACGTTTTGCAGCTGCGAAGAAGGGCTTTAGAGGAGTGTTGCTGCGGAGGACCTCCTCGATCGCTTGCGGAATGCAATTTTGGATATACTGCTGGATGCTGCCCATTTGAGTAATGTAATAGGATGTTGTCTTAAGGAAATGCCATCCTCTTGCATCCTTGACGAGGATCCGCGTATGATTGGCGATGGAAGACTTGAAGACCTGACAAGATACTAGTAACTCTGGCCCCGAATCAAAGTGCCGCAAAGAAGCCGGGTGATCAGCGTTTGCCTGTACATAGTCAAACCCAAGTAGTCTTCGTTCGTACTCTTTGTCCTCCCCTGCCTAACGTTAACTTTGACCTCAGCAGATACAATTTTCATTTTGGCTTACATTTTGTGAACGGTAAAATAACTGAGATATTCGGCAGGCACTGAACGATTGTGATAAGGCTTCCAGTACAGCCTTTGCACCTGTACTCATTTCTAGTGCGTTGACACTGCAGCTTATGAGTCGCTATTCAACTGGTGATGGGTATGTAATCGCACCTTTCTTTTCTTATCGGCGCAAGCAATGCACTTGTATCTGGTAAGGTCGTGACTCTCAGGGATGGCTACATCCATTTCTGTTGGGATAGGAGGGAATGAAGCACACGAGGGTATTATGTCCCCAGTTGGGGATTTTGGCGGTGGCGTGACAGCCCTTGTCATGCTTTGGAGCCGACTTCTCTCAGGCTTGTTGTTCTATTTTGTTATAAGATATCAGAGGGAGGCATTGAGATGAAGTAGGTATTCTCTCGTTGGACGAACGTTGTAAACAGACGCAAGTGAGGGGTTCATGCAGTTTAATCGGTTGGTTCATTGATTGATTGATTACTACTGGACTTATATCAGGTGACCTATGAGCTCATTCGTGATTGGCTTAAGACGCACAGGCCTTGTTGACAAATCAAACTATCCGTTCAGTTTTTCAGACATCTTCGGCACACGTACGGTTTCCCTGGATCTTTTGATTGTTTGGCTCAGACGACTCAACCTCATAGGCAACCTCCGAATTTGCTAGTTATAAGGACCATCGGGGATCCTAGTAGCGCATTTAAGCCAAATGATCTGGCCTCCGACCTTCATTCCGACCGGCCAGCGCTTGGCCCCGCGCGCTGGATCAATCTTTCGATAGCTCCTTCAAATTCAGCACATGTATCTGCAGCGCATCCTACGGCGGATATCTTGAATAAAGATAAGTCACAGCTCGACCGATGTGTTTTTTCTTTTCACTAACCTCTTCATAGCATCCCGTGATTGATTTCAAATAGCTCTCTGGGGTTACGTTCATTCTCCATTTGGCTTCTTTGGAGGGCTTGTCGCTTTCGCAAGCGAGCGATGGCTTGACATAGATTGAACAGTATGTTTCTTGTACCTACTGATGTGAGATTCCGTGTATCTCAATTGGATGGCACGTACCTTTCTCTCGAATTCTTGCAATTGTTCTAAAGTTTTTGGAAAACCCTGAACCAAAGTCCAAGACGATGATCCTTCCCCGACTACCTCTCGGATACTCTCCTCCAGTATCTCTACTGCTAGAGTACTCGGTACCTCAAAGCCCTCTGCCAAGCACGTCTTCAAAAAGTGTGCGTGGACAAATGTGTTGTCTTCAGACTTGCGTGTCAGGGCATTGTCAAAACACACCTGATGAAATCCGTCTTTCCGGGCCTGTAGAGTACACAGTTCTCCGACATGGTCAACACTACCTTTGGCACGTTAGAAAAGAGCAAAGAGCCGACGATATTAACCTACCCATAACAAAAATCAGCGGCAACTGTTGTTTGCGCTTGCTGAAGTGGGCTTCTCTCTCCCGTTGGACCAAAGCGTCCCAATGTTTCGCTTCAGGGGCTTGAAGTTGCTTTCGAAGGCTTTGAAACTCTTCAAGGCCCTTTTCTGCACCAAATGTTTGTTCTTCGTACTCTTTCGCCTGAATAAGGCATTCCAGCTTATCCATTTGCTTCATCCATCGACCTTCTTCAGTGCGTCCTTCCTCGTAGTCCAACCATGCGTTCTTTAGTTCATCTGCCAGCTCCGGATAGCCCGGTTCCAAGAGGCGTTCAATCCATTCAAAGCCTCTTGTCTCCAGTTTTCTTTTCTCGGCTAAACAGGTCAATGTCTTGAGATTGCTTTTCAGGCGGAGGAAGAGTTACCCTTCGGGATTTCGGCGAACTTAGGTATGTCTCCCGTATAGGACTCCGCCATGTCATGAACCAAACCTATGTACATGCATCTCATTCGGTCCAGTGGTTCCTTGACGTGATGTTAACGGAAGATACCTTAAGGGTTTAGGAAAGAGCATACTGGCGCGAAGAGAGCCATAGCTGCCAGTCGCCAACTGTGGCTCGCAACACTTTCGCAGTTAGGGACAAATCTTAGCCATCCTGTTCTGGGCGTGCGTTTCAGACTTCCCAATTGATACAAAAAGGGTAATGGCGACTTGGCCAGAGAAGTTTGAAAGTCATCCATCCTCGGTGTTTTTGGCAAAGTGAGATGGAAAGTCCTATGAAATTGGAGGCGGATGTACTTGAAAAGCCTGGAGTGTTCAACGGCGGGGTAGCGTGGCGGTGACGCCAGTGTGGGTCTATGGAGCGGGGTAGTTGATGTTCACCGCAGGTGCCATAATTTCTCAACTCTCCAGCAATATCCTATGCAAACAGGGCCTCATTACGCCTTGAACCGGCTTTTATCAGCACTCCACGATGGAAGAAAAATCTCTTGGTGAGGCGGGACCTATTCAGGCGTTTTCTGCAGTTCGGCTTACAAACCTTAGAGCACTCAGACCTTTGGACAGTTCAAAGAGCGCGACCTGTCGACGAGCTACAGCTTGCCCTAGATTCGGTGCTCGGTTACTTTCACCTACTTGGCAAGTTGAAGACAACCAAGCGCGAGGGATGGCGCCGCCATGGAATCGAGTAGGAGTCAGTGCTATAGATTGAGGGCTCAGCTGACAATCCTTAGTCACGGCGAATCGATCGCTGACCATTGTCACCGGATGGCAATGATGGCAATGCTTGCTCCCCAGAATCTTGATCTCCAAAAATGCCTCAACATGTCGCTGATCCACGACGTGGCGGAGTCCATCGTTGGCGATATCACACCAATGGATGCTGTATCGAAGACTGAGAAAAACAGACGGGAGGCCTTAACGATGAATCATTTCCGCGATACACTCGGTCCAGCTGGCGCCCTTCTGTGGGATTGGTGGCAGGAGTTCGAGGCCGGAGAAACACCCGAAAGCAAATTTGTCCAAGACTTGGATAAGATTGAGCTTCTCCTCCAAATGGTGGAGTACGAAAAAGAGGGGAAATGCAAGACTGACCTAGGCAGCTTCGCAGGCGCAGCGACCAAAATCAAAACTCCAGAGTGTAAAGCATGGGCTACAGAGATCCTGAAAGCCCGTGAAGGCATTTGGGGAGACAAGGAGCATGTTCGGGGTGAGCTTGGAGAGGAAGGAGGCATATCAAAGGAATTCAAGAAACAGCAAGATGATTACTACTCTGAGACGCGTTAGGTGGGCAAAGGCACGACCTTATCTTCGATCATTTCCAATATCTCGTAATCGCCTTCTGCACGCATTCCGTATGTATGGGCAATGTCCAGCTGGTGAATTAGAGCCGTCTGGCAGCGCACATAGAACCCTCAACAGCCGGTATCACCTCCATGTTGAAGTGTTATCTTTTGTTTAAGTCTATTCTGGCCAGCACAGTTCGGTTTTTGGTTGCAAAGAGGCTTGAAATTCCTTGGAAAGTACATTGAACTTTGATTAATACTATTCACTCTCTCTATTGAATGCGCGACTTCCTAGGTCGATGAGCCGTCGGACGCCAAGCAGGTAGTATTACTGATGCTTCATCATTTCGTGGTCTGCCGCCATTTTGGCATTCACCGGGCCTGAGCAATTGACCCTTGTCAGGCGGAGGTGGAACAAGGAGAGCTATATTCGGATCTAGTTTTGATCCACTGTTAATATTTGTAGTTGTTTATTGTGCGGGCCTTAGCATAGCACCCATGTCTGTCAGAAACGAGGACGGCAGGAGATCCGGGCGGACTGGTCCTCCATGAACCTTTAGGTCGTATCGACCCACTGTTAACGTTTGTGTTTGTTGATTGTGCGGGCCTTAGCAAAACATCCATGCTCATACCGCTGCAGCAAGACACCTTGGTCAAGATCCGCGAAGTGCTTGGCGCAGGTACTTCCAATAGCCAAGCGGATACAGTCTCGTCCGAAGTTTCGGCGAACAGGGGTCCTTCGGAAATCATTGGCTAACCCACCTCCAATGTGTCTACTAAGTATGCTCGTTATCCAGCTGCGGCTCACTTGCATCCACGCCAGAGGGTGGCCAGGATAACACCGGTCAACTTCACACCATCTACTCATTCAAGAACAAGAAATTAATTCTGATTAGTAGTACAGTACGGCAAAAGAACACCTTGTACTCAATGAAAACGTCACAGGTCAAACTCAACTTGACTGAGAGATCCTGCTGCACAATGCAAGCAGCCTGAATCGAACCGCGAGCTGACTAGTTATACATGCTTCTTTTGCCGACGAACCCCTGCTGCATTGGCCCCTTGATTCCCCGGATGGCTTCTCCTCAAAGTATAACAAGCAAGGCAGCCTTGGGAAACCGCTTGGTTCGCCTGGTTCGCCATGCAACGAAGCGATACCATTCATCTCATTATGACCACCCACAAAGAATATCGGCCAATGCACGAAGCGGAATTAAAGGTTTACGGTGCCAAATACCTAGAGATCAAAGAAGAGAAAGAATCGCGTTCAGCGGTATATATGAGAGTCAGCGAAACAGAAATTCGCATCGAACTGTTTTATGAGGACATTGTGATACCCAAAGCCGAGTTCGACTTGGCCATGGGCAAGCATGGACAGAATGCAGTACTCCGACATACTCTCCGACGCAAACACAAAAGGCTGGGGCAACATTCAAAAAAAAAGGATCGACTCGTCACCGCAAGATACGAATTTCGACACCCGGGCGCAACAACGAAATAAGAAGGCAAAGTGAAGGAGGAGCAATCAGTCCTTGGTGTCTTGATGGCAAGGGTCTTTGGCGGACAAACACGGCAGGCAGATGTTGAGAAAATGAAGGGTTAGAGCACCATTAGCAAAAGCCAGGATTTGAATAGTGGAACATCATCCGCCAGTAACCTATACCACCGTCTAGCTAGTCAGTTCCATATCGTTCATATTCGTAGCTAGCTTTGCAACGTCACCTTCTGTGTGCGCGATAACTGACTTGGGCGAATCGGGGTTTGCTTGGAAATGTAGGCCGCCGGACAATGAGACACACTTGAATTAAGGAAACCTTTCCTGCAGTTCTTTGATGCTGTTCTCAGCGATATTCGTGACAGAATCAACACTTCTTAAAGCCCCTTGGTAACGGATTCCATCCATTCTCCGATCTCAGTGCCGTCGATTTCACACTGATCAAAGATCGTCCACGGGAATCATTTCACACATAGGTAGTATATATGTTCACCTGCAAGGTGACAGGCTAGCCTGACACATGTTGTTAACCATTACATTTTCGCCTTGTGATTCTCGCTGACCACAAAGCAGAGACCTTGTTGGCCTCATGCAAGGTCGTTCTGTAAGCGTAGTGACTTGTAAGTACATAAGCCATTCGGTACTCCACATGCCAAGGGCACTCACTACCTTTTTCTCATTGGTTAACCCTCTCATGCATTCGACTGGGCAACCCATTTTCGCCAGCCCCAGCCTCTTTTTGACATACAGCTTGCACCTGCATCATTTCTGCCTATTTTCTGGAAGTGGTGTGTCTCGCAAACCACCGGAGCCTCGCCAACGGTCTGGTCCTGGCCTAATTGCTTATCAGGCAGTTGAAAGAGGTCCAGCAAATCCATTTCAAGCACCGTGCAGCGTCTGGTGGTGTGCTCCGGTGAGTCAATAATTCCTAGTTAAGATCCCTGTTCACACGAAGATTATTACATTCTCTCACATCTCAGAATCCTAAGACTGGTTTAAAGGGTTAGCTCAAACGTGGTGGCGCATGTTCCGGCCGCCTTAAGCAGTTGGATTGGAGGTGATAGATCGCCTGGACAATCAGTTTTGATTCCAGGTTTCTATCTGATATCCTTCCTCAATCTATAAAAGGGCACCTCAAAAGCTGTCAAAGGGCCTTGATTAATGAGCAACTCAAGAGAACACACAGGCGACCGAATCACCTCATACCTCGCACCATGGCTATGGCCGACGTCATGACGAGACCAGTTTGTCCAGGTCTCCTCCAACCCCTTACCGAGGATGACTTGAAAGACTCCACTCTTCTGTAAGTTCACCTCCATTCCCTTAGCTATGAACCAAGATTAGGCTGACTTGATGTCCTCGATTGAAGATACAACAGCCTTCCGCGTATCCATTCGGATATGCAGGTTGATGTTTTTCACGTCACCAAACTGCTGGAGATTATCAAGAAGCACAACAACCATGGGAAGCTCGGCTTGCATTTGCTTCATAAACACGATGACATCGCCAATGGAACCATTCGGCTTGAGTCGGACCTGGGTGTGGTGCCTGGAACATGGAATAGGGCTGCTCAGATCGACTCCATTGACATCGGGGGCATTCATCCTGTTACATTCAGGAATATTCCCCAGAAGAATCGGCTCGTTCCGTTCGAGTTCGCCAAAGGACCTCCATTGATCACTCTCAGTGAACAGGACAATGATTTCCTCGTAGAGCTCAGCAGCTATCTCGATATGCACTCCCTCAGCGACAAACTCGCCCTTGAAGTCACTCCTTACGGAGCAGACAGTCAACGCCAGGAATGCACTGCTGAGATTGAGGTGGACGGGGTCGGTACCGTCGTTCTGCCAAGGTCTATGGTAAACAGTGAGGACTTTCTTCCCACCGGCTGGTTCACTCTCATCCAGAATGGCGACAGCGACAACCCCCCTGCTGGCCAATCTTGGGCAAAGGTTGTCAACGGGTCTCACAAGGTGTTCACTAACAAGTCTGTCGGAACCCCAGCTGAGTTGGTCAACGAGTTGTCCGGAGCAGGAGTCACCAGGTTCTAGGCCGTTCCAAACAAGTATGGATATCGGACGTCTTGGGGTGATTTGTTCTCTTTTGATTCATAGGCTCGCATCACAGTCACTACATTCTTAATTACCTCCTTGTATATCGGTCATTACCGCTAGAATCACATAAGCAATACACAGTGCCAGTCAATACACAATATCGCACTGTTTCTATTCTGCTAGAAACAAGCGTCACGTGCCTAGGGGAGGCAGAGAGCCTCGAGGTACACGAGCCCGTGATCTCCCTCTTTTAAAGGCTTGGCTTCCTTGTTTTCAGGAGCCCCATTGAATCCGTAGGCACGAAACAAACCAAACATTCTCCCAATTTCGATCGCCTGCCGATCGATATCCAACACCTCCCCAGTGACACCATAGAATGTTTCCCAAAATTTCTGCCGGAAGTAATGGTGATCGGGATGAAAGAGCCATGATGACGAGGTTTGAATGCCCAAGAGGGTTTCGAGGCCCCAAAGCGACGTACCAAACGGGGCAATCTTGGCGTCTGTCCAGTCAACAATACCAGTAATCTGTCCCGTTTCTTCGTCCACGTGAATGTTCATCTCTAACAGATCATCATGGTTGATTACCATGATGTACTCGGGTCGAAAGAGCAGCGGGAGCGATTGGCGTATCTCGCCCAGCTTCTGCCGAAATCGCTCGGGCAAACTCTGAGAAAGTCGATTGAGGACCGAAGAGTAATGGGCGAACAACTCTTCAGTATCGTGCGATGTTTGACGGAAGAGTGGCTTGTTAATCCACGCAGAGGCAAAAAATCTAATAATACGGTCAAAACCCGAGGCTGTAGGGATATGCGTTAACGAACCTCGCTAGGTCCTGGACAGTTCGTAAAAGTTGCTGTTTCATTCGCGGGGCAAAAAGCTGATGTTGGAATCGACTGAGAGCAACCCCTGGTACAAGATCCATCTCGTATACGTAGAGGTGGGCTAATTTACTACGCTCTTCGCAACTAGGAACAAAGCTGCGATAGGTTTGTCGTGCGCGGTTGATGACGTCGAGATCCAACATTAACTGGCGGAACTGTATGACTTTCGCTGGAACAATATCGGCGGCCACAGTATAGCTAGTCTCACCCTGTACAGGCGTGGGAGAGACTGGGCCCCCGGTGATGATCTCTGCCATGTTGTGGCAGTCATCCTTCGTTACAGGGCTGTGCCGGGCAAAGAAGTTGTCAATCTGGTGCGTTGACAAAGAGTCGATGCCTTCCACACCTGCTGCGTAAATAGATATATCCATAAGACCGGAATGGTGAAGTCCTTGAGAATGCAAAGCTCATCAAATTGAGGGTTGGTTGAGTGTCAGGTCGAGGGGACCATGGCGAAAGGTCCGTGACCTGAGATCGGTGATGACTCAGGAACCATCCGTCACATCCACTGCCACCGCCACCGCCATTGTCACTACTACGACCACTACAACCACCACCGCTACGAATGAATGCCACTGTATTCATACGCAAAAGCCGGAATTGGCTTTTGACACTTCGCCAATGCAAGCATGCCTGGCTAACCACCAGCCCTGGCTACCTGCCAAGTGAGAATTAGTGACTGCTGCCTAAAATTCTTTCCCCCGCCAATTACAGTTGGCAAGGAATCTGCAAGAGGCACGTAGTAGCCGCCGATCTTTGCTTCACAGGCCAAAGTGTGCGGTCCAGGGTATTTCCAACCCCCTGATGCACTAAATTTAGCTCCAAGGTGCCTTATCTGGCTGCGGTGTATCGCAGCATTTTGCCGCGGAGGCGCGGAGGGTTGAATGTGGCCTATTGGCAAGCTGCCCGGCCAAAATGTTGGCCGTACAGTCTTAGAGCCTGACTGACTTCGTACTCAGAGCATTGACTCATAAAGCTAAGCAGAAGCCACCAGAAACGAGGGTATTTGGATGAAAAGGGTTACAGGTGGAGTAATGGGGGGTAAAAGTGTTGATGCATTTCCAGATGGCGTGGTTGCGGGGTGGCCCGGTGGGGTTTGACTGATGTTATAATTATGCCGCCGATGAGGAGAGGAGGGGTACTCATGCCCGCACCCACTTTAGTGGGTGGGAGTTTTGCGAGTGCCAATTAAAGTGGGTGCGGGCACGAGTAGGTTCACCTGTCCGCAAGTCCCTGCCAAAAAACAAAGAGAGAAAGGACCATCAGCCTGTTCACAGAGTTCACAGCGGCCCCTGTACCCGGACGGGGCTTAGGTTGGGCATCAGCCAGACTATGGACCCACTATTCTGTGATAAGTGTCGGAGAAACGGATGATGGTGGTGCCGTAGCCAAGCAAGCCAACAGACCCACCTGCTGCCTCGCGCCTGTTGTCGGGGTAACACAGACCAACACCTCAGTTCTACGGTGATCGAAGCCTTTGTTTCTTTCTTCACTCCCTATTGCACAACTTTCTAGCCACGATGGATGATGAAATCGCTAATCTACGTCAACAACTTCGGGAAGAGCAACATCGACGTGAAGAAGCCGAAGGTCGTGTACTGGAAGAACAACGCCGACGCGAGGAAGAACAACGCCGACGCGAGGAAGAACAACGCCGACGCGAGGAAGAACAACGCCGACGCGAGGAAGAACAACGACGGCGCGAGGAAGAACAACGACGGCGCGAGGAAGAACAACGCCGACGCAAGAATGCCGAAGAACTTGCGAAGGCATCACAACCACAGACACTTCAGAAGTATCTCGAGTCTTGCCACTCGCTCAGTCTCGCCATTCAGGTAGTTACTGATCGCACCTTGACTACACAAGGCGACACGACCAACCCGACCGGCCGCATTTACCCTCGACGAATCATTCCGTGGGATGACTTCGCGACAAGACAAGAGGAGATTTGGGACCAGCTCTCGATCTGGTGCTCATTCTCCTCTGAAGCCGTGTTTCCATCCGCACATCAGTTGGAATATGTCATGTCTCTGATTAGCCCGATCAGCAGTGAGACTGGACTCCGAAACTTTCAGCGGGATACGGTCGAGAACGCGGTTCAAAAGCTGATGGATGAGGCATACAACAACGAGCAACTCCGAAGTAATTTCGGCTTACAGGGGACCGTGACGTTCGAGAGCCATACGAACCTCGGCCAGACTGATGACGCCGTATCCGAAGCAATGGAACATATGTCTATCGAGAGAGAACATACAGCCGCCGCGACGTCAGCCTCGATGTCACCGAGCCGCAAACCCCGGCGCAGGGCGAGGGGGAAAGGCAACCGGGCGGACCAGTTCTGCATATATCGCACCTTTGATGGCCGAAACGTTCCTGCCGTGGCGATCGAGTACAAGGCACCCCATAAGCTGAGGTGCGACGAGGTCGTTACGGGTCTAGAGTCCGAGATCCGGCCGGAACGCGATATAATCAACAAACACGATGAGGGGTTTACGTTCGCATCGAGATCACTCGCTGCCGCTGTTGTCACTCAGCTCTTCTCGTACATGATCGGCAAAGGCATCCAGTATGGATATGTGTGTACAGGTGAGGCGTTCGTCTTCCTCCACATTCCGGATGACCCTACCACCGTATATTATTCTGTGCACGTACCCAACCTGGACGTTCGGGATGATGATGAGAACAGGCTCCATGGCACAGCTGTTGCACAGGTCTTCGCCTTCATCCTTCGGGCCCTCCGCGCGGAACCGCCTCCTTCGTCCTGGCACGACGCCGCCGCAGCTCTTAGTACCTGGGCAGTAGAGTACGACGACGTGCTAAGGAACATTCCCGAAACGGTGCGCAAGGGCAAGGAACCGCGCGCCTCTCCCTACAAACCTCAACGCTGGCGAGGGTTCAAGCGCTCGCCGATTCGGACACGCTCTCGGTGCAAGCAACCCGACAGCAACACAAAGCATCGAGGCGACAGCGGTGACGACGAAGAAGAGACCCCTCCTTCCCCCACTCCAACGCGATCGATCCATACCGACGGAAAGGCTGTCACTAAGTCAACGAGGGCGGGTTCGGACAGAAAACAAGCGCAACATGGCAAAGGAGGTCAGCAGCATAGCCAACCGAAACAGCAGAATATACAGGATCGTCCGTTTTGCACCCAGCAATGCCTCCTAGGGTTGGCGAACGGTTGGCCAATGGATAGACACTGCCAGAATTTCCGGGACCATGGATATCAGCACCTCAATCGTGTGGAGTTCCTCCGACTCGTCCGTATCCAGCTCGCTGAAGACCGCGGCCGTGATGCTGATGCCGCACCGCTTTACCTGTCCGGCTCGATCGGTTCACTCTTCAAGGTGCGGCTATCCTCCTACGGGTACACACTTGTGGCCAAAGGCGTTGAGAGTCTCGACCTGGCCCGGCTGCAGCATGAGAACGAAGTGTATGATCGACTCCGCTCGATCCAAGGAAAACATGTTCCGGTATGCCTGGGAAGTGTAGATCTGGTCCTACCATTCTACTATGATAGTGGCATCTACAAGCACTTCTTGTTCCTCAGCTGGGCCGGCCGGCCTCTGTTCGACTCCGCCAATCAAGCCATCAGGACAGACGTCGTTGACTTGGTTGCCATGGCTTACAAGGAATTGCACAAGTTGGGGATCCTTCATGGCGATGCGGAGCCGCGCAACGTATTACGCGACACAGTGAGTGGTAATATTATGGTAGTGGATTTCGAGCGGGCAGAGTTCCGCTGTCGCCCACCTCTCGGCTCGCTTAACTCAAACGGTCAAACCCAGAAGAGAAAGAGGGGGATGTTAGAGAAGCGAGGGAAAGGCGATTTTACCAAAGAACTAGAATCCATCGTAGAACGTGTTTCAAGGTGTATAACAACAGCACGGTCAGAGGCTGCTATCTATGCGGCCAAGATCGTGCGACGTATCTAAGGAATGACAAAGAGTTGGACTGATGTCAAAAGAAAACGGACCAAGGAGAAACTAAAGCATAGAGATCACCACAAACTAATCACTCTGAACCCATGAATCTCCCCGTCTTAGGGCTCTTTCCTCTCTAGTACGGGACACCCATCCCTCCACCTCGGCCAAAGCACCTGAGGGCGAGTCTCTGTTTGCTAGGAGGAAGGAAAAAATGTCGGCAGGGCTGAACTCCAGCTCCGGCACTAGGGCTGCGAATTGATCTGCCAGTCTCCGGACTTCCTCATTGCTGTCTTCTCGGTTGTCCAAGTCAGACAGCTCCTCTTCCGATTGTTGAAACACAGTGTTGAATATCTTTCTGGTCACGTCAGCATCTGCAAGCTGAAACTCGATCTTCTTGTCAACGCGGCCAGATCGGATCAAAGCTTCATCAAGATGCTCTATGTGGTTTGTCGTCATGATGAGGACGCGCCCCTCTTGTGATGCGACGCCGTCGAGAACATTAAGAAGCCCAGATAGCGAAACAGTCCCGTGCGGCTTCGATGACCTTCGTGAATCTTCCGATCGGGAGTCAAAATCATCGGCGTCGGATACATGTGATTGGGTTGTACCGACGGCATCAACATCCTCAAGTAGGACAACACAGCGTTGAGGAAGCTCCCTGAACAAGGCACTGAGTTGTCCATCACTCATAGCAGCGAGGCTGAGAACGTAGATGTCCAGTCCGGAACAACCGGCGACGGACATGCTAAGACTGGATTTTCCGGTTCCAGGACGGCCGAACAGCAGGTAGCCTCTTCGATGTGGCAGCCCACGGCTCGCGTACCAGGACCGAGCTTTGGGATCGAGGAACGAGCGGACGTCCTTAAGGAGCGTCTGCTTGAGCTGTTCGTTCATGATAACGGTATCGATCGGCCTGAGGTCTCGGGTGGTAGTTCGCTTCCAGCCGTTATTATAGTTCTCGAAGATCGAAGTTTTGTTTTCAGAATGCTTCAGATATTCGACGCGACATTCTTCCATAAGTTCCCGTAGAACTCGTGAAGAACGCCCAACGCACGAAACTGTCATTGTGTTGCGCGGAAACAATGCTGCTTTGTCTTGCGTGCACCGTAAAGTGAGACGGTGCCCGCGATACCAGAAACACAGCGGTTCTCCCCAAGGAGTAAACCGAAGATTTTTTTTTGCCGCAATATTGGGGTTGAGCTGGGCCAGAGTTCTTCCTCGTCTGCTTTCAACACTAACAAGCGAGGAGCTAGCATCTTTGGAAAAGGCTTGACCGGAAACCCACGCATCCAACGTGTCATATGCCTCGTCGGGATCGTGGACATCGGCCTTTGAAGCTGGAGGATGTTAAATATGTGTTACGGGTTTAGGAAGGGCTACTAACTGAGGTATGTATCGACGAATGCTCCCACGGTCCTGCACAGGAACTTGCCGCAAACCATCAA